AATAATAAAAACTCATCACTTTAAGCTCATCCAGCTCATAAACTCTCCTGCTGCCCTAAAAAGCCTCGAATGACTTGTGAAGCTTTAAGCTCGTCGACATGCTTGAAGTTTAAATGTTTCTTCTTCTTCATTTGGATCTCACACAACAGAAGGAGAGCGTCTGAATGATCTTTGATTAATCTGAAAAGGAACAACCACGACTTGGTTAAAGACACGCAGCGAGTCGTCTGTTTTCTAAAACCACAAAAAACAGGCTTTGAGAAAGCTCTACAAACTGACCCAAACATGGTCAAAGTGACTCGAAACTGAACCAGAACTGCAAAAACGACTTGAAATTTGAGCAAAAGGATTCACAGTTTTCTAAGTAAAACTGCTAATTTGGTGGGAAAACACAAATTCTCTTCACCGATTATCAACTAACTGGCTGGAACTAAGCTAAAAAGCGAGCACAGACATGTTTTACTGCATTTATTTATAAAGTATGACCACATTATTTAAACCTCCAACCAGCTATTTGTCGCTATTTTAAATTATTATTTAATACATGATTATTTTAAAGTGAACAAATAAGACTTACTGTCAACCTAGTTTTAAAGGGCCACTTTTTATTTTTTTTAAAAAAAGTTGTATTTTTTGTTGTGTAATTATTTGAAGATATTAAACTACTACATCAAATATCAGGTGTTTTCATTTAATCTTCAGTAAAGCGTTTTTCTTTGTGTTTCAGATGGACTCATTAACTCTGTGTTGGATTATTTTTTAGCTTTTCTTCTCTATATTTTAGGAAGACATTTGATTTTAATCGACTCATATCCAGCCAGGATCTGAGCTGGTTCTGTTCCAGCTCAGGGTCCCGGTGTCCTCCTCCGCCTGCGGGGCGGAACTGTCGAGGCTCGCTGCTGTTCCCGTCGGACCCTCTGAGCGGACGGACCAAACAAAAAGTGTCCCGCCTGAAGCCCACCCGGAGGAGTTTCACATCGCAGCGGCTCCAGAGGAAGGTTTGCGTCTAAAATGAAGTTTCGGGGGAAGATCGTGGACGTCGCCTGCCTGAACCACTTCACCCGTGAGTCCGCCCGTTTCCCCGCAGAGCGACGCTGCCAACCCGGTGGCCTTCTGCCGAACCGACGCTTCAGCACCGGCGGAGGAAGATAGCATCTTCCGGCCCGTAATAGGCAGTTTGTGTTGCCTTTAACTCGTGTGACGTGTTGGTCTCATGTCAGTCTTCAGTTCGGCCGACAAACTGTGCTGAAATAGTCGCTAACTTTAATACTTTTACAGCTAGATGGCGCTAAAGTTCCCTATCAGAATTTATCAAAATTAAAATGGAGTTTGGTGAAGAAAATAACCAACAAACGTAGGCTTGTTTTTAAGGTGTTGAATGCGTTCTTGGGCTTTTTATAGTTCAATTGTTTTAGCCCGTTTTTATTTTGTTATTTGAGAGCACTTCAACTGTTTTCTCGATTAACGAACACATGATGCAGGCAGCTGGTACCAGTGGCGCTGGAATATAGGATCATTGTGTTTGTCGTGGCTCATTAAGCATCACATAAGTCCTCGTCATGATGCCCCTTCAACTAGCTAAACCTCCACAACGCAAACTGCCTGTAGAGAGGCTCCACCTGGTGGTGCAACCAGGTACTACAGCAAATCCTCAATACTTCTGGGAAAATGGCGTCAGACTAGAACTCGGTATCGGTGGACACTAAACATTCCAAACAAAAAGAGCAGGTAGTAACCGTGTTCGTCATCGTCCTGTCCAGGAGTCGTCACCACCATCTCAAAGCTGACCAAGATGTGCGTCCTGCGACTAACTCCAGACAACCTGTTCTTCGTTCTGTCTGAGAAAGTGGCCAACGGAGGAGTCAGCATGTGGTGCGAACTGTCGCAGGTAAGTCAGGATAAGACATACCTGATGGTCCCGAAGGAGAAATTGGGAGCAAGTTTGAACAGTTCTGTTGCAGCCACAGACAGGTCCAAGACAGAACAAAGTGTAGAAACCAATGTTTAGGCTCAAGAAGGTGAACAGTTTGCACCAGTGTTTTTAGGTCACGACAACTTCTGTCTACATTCTGCTCCATTGAGTGAGAGGAAAGAGTTGACTGTTAACAAAATGACAATCAGTTCAGTGGAGCTGAGGCGAGCCATGAAATGTGCGACGGCGCCCCTGATTCCTCATGACGTTACAATATACAATTCAAACGGGTGATTTGTAGAAACATTCACCACCTGCACAGACGGCATGAACGAGGAAATTAGCTTTAGAGACTGAAACAGGTTTTCGTCCCGGGCTGTAATCACGTTTGTTTCTGCTGTGAAGTTGGACATTTTATGACAGATAGTCAACGGGGGCTGCAGGTGGATCAGTGGTTAGCTCCGTGGCCTCACAGCTAGAAGGTCGTTGGTTCACGTCCCGGTGAGGACACCCGGGATCTTCCTGCGTGGAGTCTCCATGTTCTCCCCGTGCAGCGTGGGTTCTCTCCGGGTTCTCCGGCTTCCTCCCACAGTCCAGAAACATGCTGAGGTTAATTGGTGATTGTAAATTGTCCGTAGGTGTGAATGTGAGTGTGCTTGGTTGTCTGTCTCTAAGTGTAGCCCTGTGATAGACTGGTTACCTGTCCAGGTGAACCTGCCTTCACCCTGAGTCAGCTGGGATAGGCTCCGCCCCCCATGACCCCAGTGAGGATTAAGGTGTAGAGATGATGGATGGTCAACAGGGATTGACTTGCTTTTGGAGGCAGCCCCCAAGTGGACATTCGAGGAACTGCAGTATTTATTTGTATTGTGTGAGTTCCTGTCAGCGTGTCCTTCCTCCCTGCAGGCCAACTTCTTCGATGAGTACCAGATGGAGGGCGTGTCCCCTGAGGACAATGAGATTTGTCTGGAAGTGACTCCGGAGAACCTGTCCAGAGCCCTGAAGACGGTCCAGAGCGCCAAGTCAGTCAAAGTCAAACTGACCAAGAAGCACTGCCCCTGCCTCACCATCGCCGCCGAGCTGGTGAGGCCGTCTTCTGACAAAGGACAGTTTGTCTCTGCTGCGTCCGCCACTTCAAATTAGTCAACATGTTTGTCAGAATATTGGTTGTCTGTGTCTCAGTCAGCGGCTTTCTGCTGCAGGAGCTCAGCTCAGTTCACAGGAACAAGCCTTTCTGTTGCTGTCGTGGCGTCAGTAGTAAAGTCGTAGTTCGTGGACGCGTCCGCAGTTCTGAGTAGGAAATGAAACGACGCAGGTTTACGTTGTCAACCTGTGCAGCAAAGTTTACATTGTTGATTAGGATTAATAATTAATCAGCTGATCCAAAAAAAAAGCTACATAACCATTTAAGTTGCTTTTATTTTGAGTAACTGTACGCTTTGTGGTTTTATTATGCAGCACAGTGCGAACAAAGGTTTACAGATGAAGCACAGAACTGTACAGTTAAACTCCAACATGATAGAAGATAAAGACAAAAGGGAGGCTTAATATTAAAGTTTCTGTTCAGGCCCTGAACAAAGCAAATACGTTTCATCTTGTATATTGATGTGTCACGGGTTTCCTCTTTACTGTAGCTGCCTGTAGTTTCCAATTCTGTGGAAATGTGGAAATCCAAATTCACTGCACAGCTGTCGTGTTGAACCTCTGTATGTGGTGGGTTCACACGACGCTGTGAAATCAGGATTTTAGCTTTGTGCTGTTGTCGGACAACAAGAACAGAAAAATATGTCAATGAGAGCAGCTTTACTGGGAGTTCGGCTGCATTAGTGAGCACAGAGAGCTGAGGGCTGGACTGCGAAGCCAGATCAGTGTGTTAGCAGGTAGGTCGAGCTTTAAGTGAGAGTTTTCAGTATCATGAAGGTGTCTCTCTTTTTACCTGCTAGATCTCCATGGTAGCTGATGCTGTGGAGCTAGATCTCCGTGGTAACCGATGCTGTGGACCTAGATCTCCATGGTAACTGATGCTGTGTAGGTTGATCTCCATGGCAACTGATGCTGTGGATTTAGATTTCCATGGTGCCTGTTGCTGTGGAGCGAACCTGGTCCGGAGCAGGTTCTGTTCAGAGTTTAGGATTTAAGTCGGCTGGAAAGCGCGTCTCCCTTTAACCACATGTTTTCCTGACTGTTGCTTATGAGGGATCCAGGTTGTGCATTTAGTTCTGACACTGTCCCACGATGCAGGAAATCACTTTTTGGGCAAATCAGAGTGAAATTAAAGCTACTGACTGAATATTCTCTGTAATAAATACCAGCAGAAGAATCCGTTTTCTGTTGTGTGTTCTGTCAGCTGCAGTACCAGCAGAGTAAACGGACCTGACAGCAGATCAGCTGAGAATCTGTACCGCTCATACAGAATCGATCTGGGTCGATCTTAAAGGGAGACGCTTCTTATAGTCGATTTGAATCCTAAACTCTGAACAGAACCTGCTCTGGACCAGGTGAGCTCCACGGCATCAGTTGCGATCATGAGTGTGGACAGCCATGTTAGTTTTCTAATATTTTTATGAGCCAGGAAGTCAAGTGATTGTGTTTCTTGCTTTCAGAGGGCTTGTCCTGGTTTATTCATTTTGCCGAATAGAAACTTTTGGTTGTTTTTTTGTGTGTGTCCACCCTGAAATTAAGACTGAACACCTCATGCTTGTAAATACTATAAACAGTGTAAATAAATCTAAGAATGCTGCTGCTTGTGTTCTGTGGCTGCCGCTGTAGCTGGGTCTGGGCCACCTCTAGATGGCACTGTGTAGCTGATTAAACCCTCAACGTTACAGTTACGCGGCGATAGTGAAAAGAAACGTGTTTTCCCGCTCAGCTTAAAGGTTTCAGGCCTTAAAACCACCAACGAGCTCCTGCGGCAGAAAACTGCTTCTAGTCATACTTGACCCTTGAAGATGATCTGCTGAAAACATGGTGTGGAAACAGTGAGGCCCGGTCAGAGCTGACTAACGTAGCAGAACATCAGCGGCTGAAGACAGCTGGATGTTGGCCTTAGACTGAGTAATGGTGTTGCTCTGACTCCTGTTAATGCTGCTTTAAGTATGCCTAACCGGGTCGGTCCGTCCGTCCAGCCCACCCTGTCCAGCACCAGTCGAGTCGTCACTCACGACGTCCCGGTCGACGTCATCCCCCGGAGACTCTGGCATGAATTCAGAGAGCCGAGCGTTCCGGACTTTGATGTAAGTCACGTCTCTGAGAGGTACAAATTGTTTTTAGGCACCTTCAGCTTTCAGATCAGGACAAATCCTCCGCAAGCAAGTGAAGTGATGCTCGTTGAGTCTGAGTCTTTGCAGCGCAGTGCTGAAGCTTTCTCTTTATGTCTGTGTGTCGTGGCAGGTCAGCATCTACCTGCCGCCTCTGAAGACCATGAAGAACGTCGTGGACAGAATGAAGAACCTCTCCAACTTCCTGGTAGGGTCACATTCTCCAGACTTCAGCCGAGTTAAGAGGTCGCTCATTAAAAACAGCTTTGACATCCTCCTCAGCAAAGAGGTTTCATTTAAGAGGCTTTAGTTATTTAGTTGTTTTTTTAAATCCCACAAATTAGACCATTTTTTCGGAACCAGAGACGAGAAGAACAGAAACGTTCTTTCGCCACCGAGTGCTCAGCTGTCACTACATGTAGAAAATGATTCAAATCCAAGATTCTACTTTATTCTACATGTCAATAGTCAGCAAATCAGATTTTTTTTTAAAAATTAAAAACTTCCCACTCCTCAGGCACAACTGGTGGCTCAGCTGTGACTTTTCGGCTGAACTGCAGTAAAGTATTTGTCGTCTCGATGTTTTTCCAGCGTTGGTCACATCTGTTGACACTTAAAAACATGTTGGTTTCAGCTTTTTCCATTTTCTGTAATACGAATATTCAAGAAACAAGACTTTTCCTCTTGTTGTTTGTAATGTATAGCGTTCTATCTGAGTCCTGCTGACAGAAGACGCCTCTGAGTTCTCTCTCCTTCCTCATGTGGTTCTGGTTCCACTGAGCTGCAGGACTTTATGCTGCAGAGAACAAATAAGCAAATAAAAACAGAAAGAGTTTGAAGCTCAGATGCTTCAATTGGCCCAAATGTGAAGCTTCAGTTCGTTGGATTCAGATTAAAGTTTGTATGTGTGCGTGTTTCAGGTGATTGAAGCCAACCTGAACGGAGAGATGAACCTGAAGATCGAGACAGACCTGGTTTCTGTGACGACTCACTTCAAAGACCTGGGAAACCCTCCGTGGGGTAAAAACGATGTCACCTGTCACGGCTGTTGGGCGGCTTAGGATTGAGTTCAGAGCAGATGTTTAAGTTTCCAGGAGGTGGACCTTTTTGTGGGTGAAAACACACATTTTGTCCACTGCTTTAATTGGTGACAAGGAAATGTTGTATGAGTCCTAGTTAGACAGCACAGAGCTCATGAAATAAAAGCCAAATGATTCTGAGCTGCGCTACCTTGCGGTAAATGCGTCACTTCTAAGCTGAACAGTACAACTTTGGCTCTTGTGTCAACTGAAAAACAGACAGTTTGGATTTTATTTATTATACACACAGCAGGAGCTCAACACAGCCAAAGTCACTTCAGATCTTTGACATTTTCAACACTTGAAACGTCCTGTTGTTCCTCAAACTGTTTTCTTTAGCTGCTGTTTGTTGGAGGGCTTGTGTTGCTCTACCTTTGTCTTTAAAATAGCCCAAACATGATTTGCTGCATCATCTCAAGGTTGTGGTTTCTACTTTGCTCTTCTTGAGAAGCTCTTGTGTGAGTTAGTTCTTCGGATGGTTCTGCAGACGCTGGAATAAATTTATCTTCTTCCAGCGTCTGCAGTCGTTCCGTCAGTGTTGTGGTTCATCCTCAGACATTCCTGGTGCATCTGTAAATGTCATCAACACCTTTTGCCCTCATGCAGCTCTGTGTCATTAACTCCCTCCTCCGTGCTTCACTGTCAGGACCTGTGGTGGTCTTTCCAAACGGGCTGGACTCCATCAGAGCCCAACACATTTATCTTGATCAGAGAATGTTCTCTAGCATTCATCAGCTGTATTTTCATTTTCTGTTGCAAATTGTACTCTTGCATATTTTATTTTTTTACTTAATACCAAACACGGGTTTTTGTTCTTGTCCTCTGTCCATAGAGGTTCTTCACACTGTCTGAGCTTCACAGTAACTCTGGTTTCCATTGATAACCCGTTACAGCTACGTAGGGAAACTAGTTGACTGTCCGTGGAGTCCTTTCAGGAGGAGGAGCACTGCAGCCCTGATCAGTCCTACTGTGGCTCCTCTAGACCTCCTGGTTACTGCTCACTCTGGGCTTCCGCCGTCTTTGTCAAGTCTCACATTTTTCAGATCCAGCTCTTTTCCATGTGGAGCCATGATGAAGACATGAACAGACCATTGGTCTAAAACGGACCAGATCCTGCTCTTCACAGCTCGTGTAGTGTCCACCTTTATGCAGTTAGGCTGACTGGGGGACCTTTGGTTTGGTTTCAGTGCTCACAGCTGTTTTTGCTTTTGCTGTTTCTACGTTGAAGCTGGAAATATCGACACAGTCTTCGTAAAGTGTCTGTTTTTAATTGGTTATCAGAGTAAATATGCTACTGTTCAATTCGGATATGATGCCATTTTTGAGACGTGACGCAATTTGAACTCATTCCTCATTAACTAACGTTGCACATTGTGTGTATTTGAAGTTCTTAGCGCCACATGGTGTTGCCCTCAGAATGAGGACGTGGTACAAAAGCTATGCTGGCATTTGTCTTCGTCCTCCTCCTCTCTCCTTCTGACCCTCCCTCATCTCCCCCCGTCCCTCTCTGCTTCCTGGCCCTCCAGGCGATGACGCCTCTCAGGGCGGTGGTCCGTCTCAGAGCAGAGACCAGGACAGCATGGCGGAGGCCAGAGTGGACGTCAGGCGGCTGCAGCAGTTCCTCATGGGACAGCAGGTCAACCCCAGCAAGGCCATGTGCAGTAAGTCTTCATCCAGACACGGTGCTGATGTGGAGGGGGACAGACGACAAGTGACGCACAGTTTGGGAAGATGTTTTCCACATTTCCGCACCATTATTGATCCACAAACACTTTCCTCATTCACGTTGCTCTACAGTTTCACATCCACTACAAACTACACATCCGAATACAATTAAATGTAGATTAACGCGACTCGCCAGTTATGAACGTAGTCCAGGAGCTGCTGTTTAGTTTGATGCTTCCGGCTGTTTAGGAGTCTTTCCTCTGAGTTTACTGAACAGAAGTAATTTCATTATTGCTCGTAATTGTAAATCCGGATTTACCTTTTCTTCCCCTCAGACAGGTGAGCGGTCACACAGGGTCCCAGTTTATCAGCTGCAGGTGAATCATTTCTGACACAGCAGTCGTCCTCAGCTTGAGTCCTGAGCTTCGTCACAGCTGTCGGGTTGTTTTGTGTGAAAGCAGCAGTCAGACTATCATCACACATCAACAGGACCGTCAGCGTTCAGGATGTAACCGCTGTTGTTTGGACAGTTGTTTTAGATTCAGTCTTTTGTTTGTCATGGTTTATGTGGTGCTGTTAGGCATTGAGTGAATGGCAGATCCGGTGCCACGGCTCTCAGTCGCTGTGGCTTTCTGAATGAAGTGAAATGACTACAATGGAAGAGTGACCTCTGTCCGACAAGCAGAACGCTGCGACATAACAGACATGACGAAGCAGCAGTGTTCTGAATCCCACGTCTGAAACTGACATATTCATCAGAGGTTTGCATTAGTTTGTAGTTTCTGGCGTTAAAACGGCAGCTGTACACCTAAAAATAGAATAAAAAGAGGAGAAAACTCTCTGCAGATCCATGACGAACATGTCCCGACGTCTTGTTTGTTGCGAACCTTTGCGTCCGGCGTGTGAACGTCCTGATTCCACGCGTCCGTCAGGAAAAGCAGAAATAATTTACCACATAACTCGTAAATTAAACATTGGTTCGATCCGTCAAACACAGTGACAAATCCCAGCACAGTTTCCCACAACGACTGACATTCCAGAAAGGAGTTTTGATTTACCGTTTGCCTTTTTTCTTTGTGACTAAATACTACTGATGACCAGAAACGCTGCCAGTCAGCTCTCTGTCATTTGACTAGTTGATAATTGTCACATTTAGTTCAGTTCTTCATATGGCCATATTATTATTATTGTTTTTATTTATTTATTTATTTATTTAAAATGTAGATGACTGTTTAGGTTTTGGGCTGCAAGGTGGCGCAGTTGGTAGCACTGTTGCCTCACAGCTAGAAGGTCGCCGGTTGGCGTCCCGGTGAGGACACCCGGGATCTTCCTGCGTGGAGTCTCCATGTTCTCCCCGTGCAGCGTGGGTTCTCTCCGGGTTCTCCGGCTTCCTCCCACAGTCCAGAAACATGCTGAGGTTAATTGGTGATTGTAAATTGTCCGTAGGTGTGAATGTGAGTGTGCTTGGTTGTCTGTCTCTAAGTGTAGCCCTGTGATAGACTGGTTACCTGTCCAGGTGAACCTGCCTTCACCCTGAGTCAGCTGGGATAGGCTCCGCCCCCCATGACCCTGGTGAGGATTAAGCGGTGTATAGATAATGGATGGACGTTTAGGTTTTCACTGGCTCTTTGCTCCAGCTCTCTTTCACTGTCGCTGCCCTCTTGCCTCCTCAGACATCGTCCATCAGAGGGTCCTCCACCTGATTCTGCTGCATGAAGACGTGTCGCTGCAGTATTTCATCCCCGCCGTGGCGTAGGTGCGCCGCAGGCCGCTCGGGTTGTTTTTCTGCTCGCTGTGGGCTTGAGGAAAAGATTTGGTTTCGGGCGTTTCCCCACATGCCAAAGGAGTCGTCCCTCAGGTGGAGACCCGCGAGGCCAAACTCAAGGCGTCTGTCCTGCAGTTTAAATCATCTTGTGAAGTCGGTTCGAGTCCCGACGGAAGACTTCACCGGCTGACTTTTGGTTGGAGCGAAGTCATGCTGACAAATGCTCATTTATCAGAACAAATGTGACAGTTGAAATCAAAGTTGCACATTTATTATATTTGAGTTTCATTGGTTGCTTTTTTTTTTGTGTGTGTTTGTGTAAAAGTGTTTGTAGGAAAAACAAAAACAGTCATTCCTGTGTTTCACTTCTCTTTTTAAAAATCGAAATCACACAAACAAAAAACATTCTCCCACCTCATTCATTTATTTTGACTTGACTGCAGTGGAGCCTTGAGCCTGCATTCTGTCCAACAGCCAGCAGGAGGCGACTCCTCTGGCAGCCCAACAAGGCCAACTGTATGGAAGTCGATGAGAAAATGATCCAACTTGTTACCTCAGGAAACATTTTCCTCATGAGTTAATGGTTTCAGCCGCTTGTTTCATGTCTCTTTCAGTTCAGCATGAAGTTCATTTCATAAATTCGAGTCCCATTTAGAGGTGGGCGGAGACAGAAACAGACACAATAGATTAAAGAAACCAGATACGAACCCTGAGATGCCTAGCATACAGTAACTACGTCTCTATAAACCAACACAGTAAACACACAGCCTGTGGTGGTAATCTGTGACAGTCTACAAATGTGTCTTTCTGTGTGAACAGCAGTACGTCCTCATCAGGCTGCCGAGGCTCAACAGCTTTTATGTATTTAGTTAGAAATATTCATCACATTCCTAACAAGCATATATATATTTTTAGATAAATGTCTGTGTTACAGCGACTGCAAAATGAAAATGAGAAAACAGCATTCAGTTTGATTCTGCTGCTAGTTTTGTGGATCAGGACAGAGCGTCTCCAGACCGGCAGGTGGCGCTGAAGCAGCTCGGTGCTGCTGTAAAAACAGACGAAGGAGGAGCAAGTAGTTCTGAAGCCTCTCTGTAGCTAATCTGGAGCTATGCTGAGGGTCACTGTCCATCTGAAGACCCATTAGTGTCCAAGCTGTAACTTCCTGCTGATGTCTGGAGATGTTGCTTCAGTATCTCCACATCATGTTCTTTCCTCATGATGCCATCTATTGTGTGAAGGTCACCAGTCCCTCCACAGCATGATGCTGCCACCCCCGTGCTCCACAGCTGGGATGGTGTTCTCAAGCTTCAAGCTTCCTCCTTTTTCCTCCAGATGTACTGATGGTCATTAAGGCCAAACAGTTCAGGTTTAGTTCCATCAGACCACAGGACATGTCTCCACTGATGAAGCTCTTTGTCCCTGTGTGCATCTACAAACTGTAATCTGTCTTTTCTATGCTTCTTCTGGAGTGATGTCTTCTTCCTCTCTGAGCAG